CTTTCTTGCTATGGAGCTCTCTTTCCAAAACTTTATAAGTTTTGCCAAGATCAATTAACCTTTTTACGTGTATTCTTTTTGAGGCAACTCGTCTATCTTTAGGGGCCTAATTACTGTGCCTGGGTCAAGTTGTAACTGTCCCTTTAACATGGAAGGTGTGTTGACATGGGCAACCCTTCACTTCAAACGAAACCCTGAATCCTCAAGAAAATAATGCCCACCTTGCCGACTTTGACATTCAGGTACACAACAATACTGAGGCATGTTTATTAAGGCCAGTACCACAGTCCAACGTATACAATATCCAACATGGCGACTGTGGAAGGACTGAATTCACACTAGCGACACCTGGCGCCAAGCGGGCTGGTATTCCTCATTCGACTGGCGTAGGTGTAAGCTGACGAGACACAAACCCCGTCAATAGCAATCAAAATTTAGCTTTGGAAAATCCCAGTGTCACATCACATGATACGGCAGATGGCTGGAAAAACCCCGTTTCTTAGATATTGAACAATGGTGTTTTAAGATTTAAGGAGAGGTCGGCTTCGCATCCGCGGACCTCCCCCCTTCAAATAATACTATATCCGCCTCTATTGGAATATTGAAATATTTGTTTTCGTAAATTCTCACTTTTCTGATATCAATCGCTAATCAAAAAACACTTTGATTAGAAACAGTGAAGTGATAAGTTTTTCTCAGATTTTTAATGTTGTGAAGCATCATTTGTACAAATTTTACAAAAATTGGAATAGATTTGTCAAAATTATTAACGTTTAACTATTTTAAGCCATGGGATTTGCCAATGTTTTCAATGTAATTTTCAGTTCTTTAATATATTGTGCAAAATATCACTTTCATTACACGCAGTCAACTGATAAGCTTATGTCAGACTTTTATTGTTCTTAGGCATCATTTGTAGTGAAAGCGAAAGACAACATCAAGAGCAGTGCTATGTCTCATCCATGTGTACAATACATGATATGTGGGAAGATTTAGGACATGGTCAAATGGTGCGCTAACAGCCTGATTCCACAAACATATAAGTCCGCAAGTCAACTTGCTTGGAATGCACTCAATAGGTCTATATACATGTACACGCGTGCACCTTTTACGTAAGTTTCACTTTTGTGTTTTTTCAGATTGTGTGGCTGGGGAGGAATGCTATAGCTGTGTTACCTACATGTACATGTTTGAAACAGACAACAAACTGGGAAGCACCGCAATTAGAAATGCCCTGGCACAACTTCCCACAGACGAAAATTGTGAGGCGGGCCGAATCGCTAATCTTGGCAAAACATCTTGTAGCAGAGGCTGTGAGAAGGCTAATGTGACGATGCATTTTTATGTTCAGTATTTGGTAGGTTTTCCTTTTTTTTCCTTTTTTGAATGAATAGAAATCTCTACCCCATTTCATTTTACGTGATGAATGGAATGCGTGCGCGCGTGTGTATCTGTATTTGCGTTTATTTGAGTGCTCGCGCGCGCACTCATGTGTGTGTGTGTGTGTGTGTGTGTGAGAGAGAGAGAAAGGGAGAGAGAGAAAGAGAGAGAATGAGAGAGAGAGAGAGAAAATGGCAAGTGAATTAGAATGTGTCTTGGAACACGCACGTCAAGAGTCTTCACAATAACTAAATTAGACAGTCTTAGGCGACAGCATTTTGTGCAGAACGTTGCAACAATCTGAATCTATCATACCGATCAAAATGATAATCCTAAACCCTGTTTATATTTTCTTACAGTTTACAGTCAAAACTAATATAATTGATACGTGTAGTCTTGTTACCGGAATAAGTACATATTTTTTTTTCATTTTAGGACGACCACAAAGTTCCGATAAGAACAGTGTCACGTGGTTGCGCAAATGACGCCAGTGCCGGAAGTTCAGTTTTAATCAGTGACAACGGCTGCCGCAAGCCGGCGGGTGAAGACGACCTGTCTGTAGGAGCGGGGGCAGTCTTCAAAATTCTAGAGTCCTTTGGGGCGCCTCAGATGTTTCGCCCGACTGGAGAGATATGCAAGTGTCGTGGAAACCTCTGCAACAGCTCAACGTCATTGTTTGCCTGTGGAATATTACTGGCAAGCTGTCTTTTCTTGATTGCAGCTGTAAAGAGCGTCCTTTAGTAACCGTGGCACTCGAGTTAACGTCTCACAAAATTTGCATTCGATTTGACACATAAATACAAGTTGATACCCTTTATTTTAGACTAATGTCAGGTGCCACAGTTATGAGCGAAAGCAGTTTGGCGAGGAAACTACAACAGAGAAATGTACGTTTGTAGAAATAGACTTTACCTCGTCAATGAAAAAAATGCACCATTCAAATACATTTTCTACGAAGCCGTTTTATTTGTTCAAATGCTCAACTGTAGCACTCATATATAAGCATTTTATTTAGGCTACACAATTTTTTGTACGTAATGTCCTGGTAAGCATTTTAACCTGTGTAAAACCAAGGAGTTCCAACACCTTGGTAAAATGCATAGTTTTAGATTTATTCATGCTGCTAAAAGTCTTGTAATATATATAAGTCCAATTAATGTCACTATACTGAATCAGGCCAATCAATGTCACTAATCTAATACTGAATCAAATGGTACATGTTGAAACCCCTTTCAGACGACTCGTGATATCTATACACCCCAGTCAGCAAATGGGTTCAATATGGGGTCTTTCAAAAACTGTGCAGACGACATGTATTTTTTCATGGCGGGTAAAGCCTGAAATGCAAAAATCATTTGTGAGAATTAGATGAGAAATAGGTAGAGGGAAGAATGAATCTGATTTGAAAGAAAAAAGAAGAGCATTCATGGGACGGCATGACGTAAGAATGTTCTCGATCTGTGCGAGAACATTCGAGAAAGGTCGAAACCAAAGACCATTGCGAATACAGTGTACGATAGCAAGTGAGCAAAAATATGCATTAGCTTGGTAATTGGTCGTAAGCTAACGGTAGGAAGAATTTTTTCATCTTGTGTCAATTATCATCTGTGACATTTTTCCCTATACATGTATGATCTCTCTCTCTCCCCATGGAGTAGAGGATTTTACTACTTACCTCAAAATTATTGCAGAAGGCGACAAGATTGGGGAGCTTGTCCAGACATCCGGGTTCAAACCTTCTGAACCAATCCAGCAGCTCGTACAAGCCAAAGTCTGCATATGTGATCTGTAAGAAAAATATAACTGGATAACATAGGAAATATTAAGCTCGCGCCGCGTTTGTATGTGTGTGTGTGTGTTGGGGGAGAGAGAGAGAGAGAGAGAGAGAGTGTGTATTATATGACATCCACATTGAGCGAAAGTACTCTTATTTTACCGAGAAACATCTTTAAAACCAAATAAACCGTATATCTCCACGGTCACACTGGCAGGTAAGTATTTTTGAGGTATGACCTATTAAGATTATGTCCCCTTGATTTGTATTTTTTTTTGACAATTTGCTAAGTTTATAACACGCCTAGGCGCTTCAGTAAGTTATTACAGTATTTCTATGCATTCACTTTAACTCACAAAACAATAATACTTTTCGTTAAAACTATCACTAACAATAACACAAAGAAAAATTAAATAATCCACAATATTTTGTGCAATTCAAACACGCGTATTTGGTGACAAAGTGTGACAAAGTGCGATATTTCCGAAAATGATTTATGCTGAATAGACAATTTTATACTTAAAAAGAGCACGTTTGGATAAACTTGTCATTATAGAACACTTGAAAAAGACAGTAAATACGTGGATTCAGTTGGCATTTTTAGATCTGTTTAAAAGAGCGCTAGTGGTTGACATTCAGAGTTCACTTTAACCACAAAAAAAGTTCCTCGATAGGAAAAAAATGTCCATATGTCTTTATACCACCATGTTCATTTGCCCAGAAAAAACTTCCCATGATTCAACAGTTGTTGACACCAAGGCTGCTCCGTCTCACCTAACACAACCTTGGCATAATCAGAACATGTACTTCCAATGACACAACTTATTGCAATGATAATAAATGAAAATTCTGTTTATCAAAAATTAATGCACATAAGCTTTAATATGCACTTACACTTTTGCCAGCACACCAAGGGTTATCTCCCAAAAAATCTGAATAAGACTTCAACGTGTCTGGCAGGCCCTTCAAAAACTCTTCCTTCTTAGCTTTCTGAAATCAAATTAGGAAAGAAAAATATGACTTTTTGTAAAATAAAGGAAAAAACTACAGAGAAAAGGACAACACTGAAGGCCTTTGGGTTACACATGCATAGGCCAACTCATATTGTCAGCAGTTTAAAATAAATCAGGCTTGTTTCCCAGTGTAATCATTTTCTGTGCGTTTAAGGGGCGATAAATATTAAAAATTAAAAATATCGATTTCACATTAAAAAAGTTAGACGTGCTTTGCCCATGACACGTACAGATCCACTTGTACATTGTTTCTGAAAAAAATATGCTGATTTCGATTTCACAATGAAATGAAGAATAGCACCCAGTCTCTCTACATTGGAAATGACACACACGAGTCTACTTACGAAGTCAGCTTTAAACATGCGTGTTGACAGACAAACACGGACAAAGCCCATCAAGTTATCTCCGAGCTGTGAAGCCAACACGTCTGCTCGGATTCTCTCTGCTTCAGTGCTACCATCTATCGAAGAAAAATATGAAGCAAACATTTGAAGGCATACAAATGAGTTTTAGGTTTTTATACAGCTCAAAAGGAAAGTTTACTAGAATTTTTGACAACAATGTTGTTCATCATCAAAGTGTCATCGTATTAGCTTATAAATGTGGATCCTTATTTTTTCAACGATCTTGGGACAGATATAGGCCTACCTTGGCTATTATACAATGTGTATGTCTACCGAAATTTTACGTAGAGGTTCATCACGTGCCTGTCATATATCAGAATGAGAGAGAGAAAGACAAAGAGAGAGAGAGAGAGAAAGAGAGAGGGCCTTACATAAGTTGTGTTTCCTGGCCAGATGCATCATAATGGCACGACTTTGTACGATGATGGTGTCGCCATCTTTGTAGTAAGGAATCTGAAAAAAAAAAACGACATGGGATGTCTTTAATCACTAAACTATGTCACCATAATTTTGCTGCACGTTTTCTTTTATTGTGCAATTACAGGGGCGGATCCAGAGATATTTTCTGACAGTCTTCTAAATTATCTTTGTTAATCCATCCTCCATTTTTGACCGTCTTCCGACAGAAAACATTAGATACCCGTCAATGTAAACTTTAAAATCTGACCGTCTTCCGGAAGACCCAGAAGACGGCCTAAATCCGCCCCTGAATTATCCGGAACATAGAATATATCTTAATCTTCTGGTTTGATGAGAGAAACGCTCTTTAAGCCTTTTTGTATTTTCACCTTGAAATTGTTAGCAAATTTATCCCTTTTTCCGGCGTAACAGGAATGGAAGTCCAGGCTCCCGTATGACTAGTACAGGTTAGGGTTAGTTGAAGTATTGGGGTTAGTATATAAGACGAATGTCACCTGTACAAAGTAATGGGAAGCGGACTACGGTGCCTAGCTGACTTCCATTCCTGTTACACCGGTTTTAACTTGAAAGTTGTACCTTATTTCGTGTCTCAACAACATTAAATCAATACGTGATAATTATGTGGTAACAATACAAAATATATACACACATTTGGAAATGGCACTCCCAGCTTGGCCTTATCCGTCAACCATTCATCTTTGTTGAACTCTGGGGCTAAAATAACACGGTTGACAAAAATTATGTTACAGTGATTTTAACAAATATGTACCCGGAACATATTATACACCATTGCAGAACGCTCAAACTGTCCTGCAAGATGTGGGTCTGCATATCCGACCCGTTAAATCCTACGTTTTAGATTTACTGATATTCTGAGTTAAAAGTCATTGAAACATTACCTGGTCCCATCTGATAGCGTTTCTCCTCCACCTCTTCCCCGGCATAGGCCAACATAAGGCGGATGGGCTGAGCTAGCTGAAGATACGAACAAGATAAATAATCAATTTAGTAATTGATTGACTTATTATTTGAAATTTTAATTGATAAAAAATCATTTTAACAGACAAATAAAAATAAACGGATATATGAAAAGATATTAATAACTGATAAATGGGTCAATGAGCACGATTGTGCACAATTAGAAAGCATGAATGAAAGATGGCAATAAATTACACTCTACACGAAATAAGATGGGCCCTGATCTATATTTTAAACCAAATAGATATCAAATCAGTTTATGAATAAATAGATATACTGATATTATGAATCATTTTATATTTTATCTTAAAAAATAATCATGTCTCTCCGTCTGTTTGCACATATTACACTGTGTCTGGGTGTTTGAAGTAATTTCTGCAAGTCATGCTACTAGCACCACATGTACGACAATACTGGTCTGCCTATGCTTACATAATACGATGGCATCATTTTGCTAAGCAGTGAATGAAGGTGATCGAACCAAGGAATTGTTCTTGGTCAAACTGACCTCGCAAACAATGCAATCGGCACGATCGCCGGTCGATGCACAAATAGACTGTAATTTCATCCTATCCATGCAGATTATTTATACTATCTCGCTGCGTACATTTCTCCAATGTATATGGTGAGACCCCGTAGACCCAGTTAGCGTGGTACAAGGTATATGTGTTCAATATACATACATACATGTTTATGTAGGTCTTGTATGTATATGTAGTGCTTTCTTCTAAAGAGTAAACGTAATTAGGTTAAATATACACTTACAACCCACACGATGGTGCATGACTTCATTTGTCCACGCCCCGGGATCACTGTCTGCGGTAATTAATATATGATATCATAAGTATGCAGCTGCAATGCGTGTCACATCATAAACATGTAGTGCACGCAAGCAGGGCTCAAGTAATTAATTTCCAGTCCTAGTTTTGCAGAATTCAACTTTAAGAATGCTGGGTGGATGAGACCCCCCCCTCCTCATCTGTGCACCTTTGCCTTGTCGATATTAAATCCCGAACTGACCGCAAAACCACTACAAGTTTTCTACATGGACACAAACCAAGGACGGTCTCTGAACGAACCTACCCCTCGTATGTTCCAATACCCGAGTACAGCTGGCATGGTGAAGAAAATCTGTCGGTAAACCTTCTCAGCGTGGCAGCTCGCTCCTTGTTGATCTATGCTGACTGTGCCAGAGGCCCCGTTTTGCTGAGTGAGCTATCACTGGAATGCGTCCTCCTTTATGCCCTATGACGTGCCGCATGTCAATAAAGGCGGCCCTCTACTTGATAATTTTCTTGCACAACTTAAATGCTCTTACTCTTAGAAAGTAACTTACTAATGGAAAACCATTAATTCTTCACGATAGATCTACCGAGAGCGATTTTCTCTCAATGTCAGAGTATACCGAATAGATTCTTCTTTTGTGTATTATTTATGCCTGAATTTCTTTCTATTGACTTTGTCTGGTTTTTAAAATCATATCAATCGAGTGCAGCTCTTTGGATATATATAGTGCTAATCTCCTTATCACTCAGAGATTGACAGATTCTATTTCCAGTGTGTAGAAGTTAATGATGACTTAATTAACATGAACAATTAACTGCGGGGATTTTAGGCGCTCTTTTTGGAGAGTTCCGTCAAACTCAAGCGTAGTCGACCATTGATCTATAGCAATTTGAAGGATTGAAATAGGATGCATATCCGTTCAAATAAATTGTAAACATGCACTTTTATTGCCATTGAGCTCTGTGCGTCTTAACAACTGATAGAAAAATTCAACATTTAATATTTGAATGATAATTATGCAAGGGCGGATCACGGATTATTTGAAAGGGGGGGTGGGTCCTCGGATAGGGAGTCGACCCTCACCCCCCCCCCCCTCGACGTGGGGTTCGGAGCCTGAAACTTTGTTTGTATTTTAGAAGGCGAACGTTGGTACTTTCTACGGTTTAAAACTATGATTCAGCTAGTCAAAATTCTAATTTTAAGAAGGGACCATTGGTGTGGCTTTTTCTCAGTATTATAAAGGGGGGGGGGGGCAGGACCCCCCTGAACTCCCCCTTATTCCGCCACTGCTTGTGTACAATTGTATTTAAAGTAATAAGGCTTCCAGTATGAAAATGAACAAACTACATGTACAAGTAAACTGACCACATTAATTTTGTTAATATATTTTTAGCGAGCATACTGGGGAAAAGGTCAGCTGGGTCCTTTGCGTGCTGATAAGCTGGTATCTCCATTTCAAGCAATATGGCCAAGTTTCATGTTTCTATCTCCAAAACAAAGCAAAACTGTATATAATACCACCAAGCGTCACGAAAGGAAGACTGTCACGCGGTCTCTATGCATTCCAGTCGGCATACGGAGTCCACACTGGGGTCTTCAAAAACTGCGCGGATGCCATGTACTTTTTAATGGCTGGAAGAGCCTAAAATAATGTCAAAGCTTAAATTCTTTTTTAGTTCAATTATAACGGTGTGAAATCTGGGAGAGAAAAAAAAACTTAAAATCAGTAGTAGCTAGGAAAGCACCCAGAGAGCGCAGACCGACCCCAAGGACCCTGCACTGATAAACTGCTGTAGTTGACAAACAACGAAACAAACAAACAGACTGACAGGCAAACGAAGATGAAAACAAATCCTCCTCTACGTTGGTAATAACTAGAGAATATTTCAAGAGAGCAGATATCCACCAGACAAAAAAAGGTAATTACTGACTATCTCTTTTAAGATAACGAATTCACAAACAAATTCACACTTCGTCGGTATGAATAATAAAATACATCTGAAAAACAAACGATGTACAGGAGATGCTGTGAAGATATTGGAAACGGAAGTCTACATCACACGATATGTACAAGGACATTAAATAAATTTATTTACCTCAAAATTCTTGCAGTAGGCAATGAGGTTGGGGAACTTGACCAGACATCCGGGAGAAAACATTTTGAACCAGTCCAACATCTCGTACACGTTGAAGTCTGCATATGTGATCTGTAAGAAAAAGAAGGATTGCTGAATAAAAGGGTCGTGGTATAGGGTTATGGCCAATCGTAGGGAAGGGTGGAATAAATACAGAATTTCACAGAAGTAAAGAAAAAGCTTTCCATAGTTGGAACTCTAATTTGGTAATTTCCCCGCGAAAACAGCAAAACACATAAACCCTTGCTATCGAAAGTCAACCAGTAACAAAAAGCACTCTTCGGTTAACTGACATAACTGATGAAATAATACAACATACTACTTTATATATACACACATTGTTGCCACCAACCCATGGGTTGTCTCCTAGAAAGTCAGAATAGGACTTCAAAGTGTCTGGCAGGCTCTTCAAAAATTCCTCTTTCTTCGTTTTCTAAAGTAACAAGATAACATAAATAAGATACTGTAAGTTTTATTTCAAGTTTTTTCTAACTCTGAAAAGAACTGCAGCATGTTCTTGGGTGCTCAGAAACTGGTCGCAAATAAAATATTTTTATGTTAATCGTTCTTTTATTTTACTCACTCTATTAATCGCTGGACGAAAGAAGACATTGTTCAGCAATATGTGCATAAAGATCAGAAAATTAATATTTAAACTCTGGATGACTTAATTCATTGTCGAACTCAATGCATAGCGTGATACGCTGCTCTTCTAGCACAAACTTACATAGTCAATTTTGTAAACATATGTCGCTAGACAAACTTGGGTAAAACTCTTGAATGTGTCATAGAATTGTGAGGCTATCACATCCGCTCTAATCCTTTCTGCCTCAGTGCTGCCACCTATCAGAGAAAAATACGAATCAATAACCTTCGTGGCATAATCTCATTCGTAAAAAAAAATAAAATAATAATAATAATAAAATAAAATAAGTGACAACCTGGCACCTTATGCACCGTTACTTTCTTTTATAATTTTAATTGGACAGGGAATGCCAAGTTGATCAAGCGGGAAATTTTGAAAATTTGAAATTTAAAGCAAAAAGTCCTATGCAGGTCAAACGCTTTTTATAAGAAATAAATATGCATAAATGCGGTTTAAAAAAAAAAAAAAAAAAAAACTGGCGAGAGAGAGAGAGAGAGTGTCTTACATAAGTTGTGTTTCCTGGCCAGATGCATCATAATGGCACGACTTTGTACGATGATGGTGTCGCCATCTTTATAGTACGGGATCTAAAAAAAGAAAAAAAAAAAACAAATGTCATCGAAGATTGATGATAATGACTGAAATATGTCATTATCATTATCATTTTTAATTTGCTGTATTTTTTCGCAATATAGTAAGATCATTTACTATACTTCTGATAAGGACAATCACCTTGTTTAATGCAGAAGACACGAGTTGTAAATTTACGAACTCTGTAATTATTTCAGCATTAACGTGTTATTAAGTCTATTCTCTTGCTCTAGGAAAGTAGATCGTCTTAATTTCGAAGCTTGACGGTACTACAGTGATGTGAAGAGGATTTTATGGTACACCAGGGCCCTAGCCTGAGCAAAATGCTAGGGGGGGCAGTAAGCGGACACGAGGGGGCGAAGCCCCCGAGGGGGGGAGGGTGTGGGAGGTTCCCCTCCCACGGTGTGGAAAAATTTTTAAAACTATGTATAATACTGCATTCTGGTGCATTTTAACTGTTATTTATTGCTCAATTAGAAGTCAGAAATTGCGATTATTTTTTTTGCACCTCAAATCCCAGGGGGGGCAGCTGCTTAATCTCTTTTCTGTCGCCTTTTATGCTTCTCGTTATACCTTTTAAACTGGCCTCTGAATAAGAAGCATTACTAATAATCTTGTTCAAAAGTTTATTACCTGGTCCCACCTGATAGCGTCTCTCCTCCACCTCTTCCCCAGCATAGGCCAACATAAGGCGGATGGGCTGAGCTAGCTGAAGACGTGAAAAGTGTAAAAGATTTAAACTGAATATAAACCACTGTAATTGACTGATTGATAAAAATTAATTTACAAATTAATTATAAATAAATAGTCAATTAAACCAATAGATAAATATATAATGTGCAGATACATTGAAAAGTAGAAATAAAACACACACACATACAGTGTGTTTAATTGCTAACTATAAATGTTTTATAAATTTTGTTGTAAAGTCTGCTGAACATTTTACGGATTTAGACTTTAAATAAACGCTTTATTATTATATTATATCTTGTGACAAATCTTAAGCTAGTAATGCACGCATGCACATCCCCTATAGCGGGATAAATTCCAATTTTCATCAGCAAAATTCATCCCTATCTTAGATGGATGAGACCTCACCTTTGAAACCTTCACTAATGTCTACCCCCCCCCCCCACCTCCCTGAAAATTAAATTAATTTCGATTGAGTGAAAGATCATTGCAGCTTTACCACGTCGATGTCAAATTCCGAGCTGCCCACGCAATTTTTTTACTAAAAACTTTTCTACATGCACAAAATCCGAGGACGGTCTGTAGACACACCTACCCTTCTTATGTTCCAATATCCGAGTAGAGCTGGCATGATGGAGAAATCTGTCGGTGTACCGTCTCAGTGAGAATTGATCCTTGTAAAAGTGTGGGGTCTGTGCTCCCGTCTCCCGTCTCGCTGAGTGAGCGGCCACTGGAAAGTGTACCCTCATTTTAACCCAATGACGTGCCACATGCCAGTAACTTACCAGTATGATAAAAGTCATGATAAACTGTGATTAACGATGCATTAGAGTAATTGTCTCGCACTAAATTGTTTTTGATTTCCTATCTTATATGCATGAATTTCTTTCTGTAGATTTTCTCTGAATTTTAAAACCATTTCGATTGAGTGTGCAACTCTTTGGAAAAACATAGCGTTGGTCTGGTCTCGTGCTATTCGAAGTTATCTGGATCATTCCTCTGCAGCAACCGTTATATACATGATTACCTCTCGTTTGTAAACATCAATGCAGGTCTCTGCTCTATGGCTGCACCCAAGCGTGCGCCTAAAATGGTCTGAATCAGCTATTTCAGATCACAAAGGATCTTATATGGTCCTTATCAATGAGTAAGACTATAACCGTACTGACTTCTAATCAAAGAATTTTTTATCTTAAAAGCAGAGTCAGTCAATTTTAATGTAATTTGTATAATAATTGAGGCCAGACCAGATCATTTGTGATCTGAAATTGCTAATTCAGACCAAATATCGATTTTGATGTTTATTTAGACCATTTTTCTGTCAATTTATGTTTTAAACATTTAATTGTCCTGAGGTAACTTCAACAAAAACGATTCATGCTTGGATCACTTCAATTTTTTCTATTTCTCTTCCTTTTTGCAACATAAGAATTAAACATATATAAGATAAGAGCTTATTTAGCCAATTATAAAAATCGGAAATCAAGTTTGATGATATACAGAGTAAAAGTTATACAACAGATAAATTAAGAAATTGGTTTTGAGATCAAAATAAAAGACTCTCGTCATTATCAGTAACTAGCCCCACAAGCGTAGTATCAACCGCAAATTTCATAAGAAAAGTCCCGTGGCTTAGACTAGTCCAATCAAGGGAGTAAAGGCAGGGTGAAAGGACGCACCCCTGTGGTGCGCCAGTATTTAAAACTGTTGTTTTTGAGATAAAAGAGTCGACTTTAACTGATTGTCTTCTATCTAAGAGAAAGTCTAAAATCCAGTCACAAATAAAAACAGGTAGCTTAAGATGGTTTAAAAGTTTCAAATATAGTCTTTATGACACAATTGTGTTAAAAGCTGAACTGAAGCCAATAAATAAAATCCTTGCATACGAGTTTTTGTTATCTAAGTGTTGTAGTACAGTGTGTAGGCACAGATTAATCGCATCTTCAACATTCCTGTTAGATTGATAAGCGAATTACATGTATTTGACTGAACTAGCAAAGATATTTTCACTTTATGCATAGCTATTTGTCGTCCTCTAAAATCACCCAAAACAATGAATAAATAAATAAACAAACAAACAAACAAATAAATAAATATATAAATAAATAAATAAAAGAAACATAAAGAGCATGTCCTCAGAGGTAATGAAAGCGTTATTCAGAATGTGTTTCTGTTTTAAAAATGCAATCACGCTTCTTCATTGTCACTGGTTTTTGTGCACCTTTCGCAACAATTACTACATCAACTACAAAAAGTAAAATAAAATAAATAGTAATAATAATACAGCAAAAAGAGAAGAATACGTTAGAAAAAAACTTTGAATGACTAAAAAAGTTGTACCAAATACTGAGATGAATTCTCAGTTTTAATGCTACTTATGTATCTTATGTAACTACGTAATCCGATCAAGATTCAGGCTTCTGTTCTGAACTTCTGTTTTTAACTGGCAATATGAAGTTTCGTGACCACACTGCGAATGTCACCTGGGTCCCGTTCGCACTGATTCCAAACCTGAATTTGCTGGTATCCGCATTTGTTGTAATCTGGTCAACGTTATTGCTTCTTTCGTAAAAAAATAAAGCAAAATTAACCTAAATCCGACATGTGCCACGTGGTGTCGGAAGGCTGTCACGTGGTATCTATGCAGTCCAGTCAGCAATCGGGGTAAACACTGGGGTCTTCAAGAACTGCGCGGATGCCATGTATTTTTTAATGGCTGGAAGAGCCTAAAATAATTCCAAATGACGTCTGTTTCAATAAATTAAGTCTGTGTGGAATCAGACAAAGCGTGAAAAAACTTTTAAAACAATATGACCAGGGTTGTTCACATATCATAAAGAACTCTTTTGTAAAATCTTATTCATTAAAAATCTCATGCTTATGAAAAGATAACCTCCTTTGACGGTGGAAATAAAAAAAATACGTATACTGTATACTGTAAAAATAAAGGTCGATGTGTAAAAAAAAAAAAAAAACGCGTGCTTTCACCTCAAAATTATTGCAGAAGGCGACAAGATTGGGGAACCCGTCCAGACATCCGGGTGAAAACATTCTGAACCAGTCCAACAACTCGTACATGTTAAAGTCTGCATATGTGATCTGTAACAAAAAAGGGCAACAGAAAAAAGTGGGTGAAATGAAGTTGTGGATAATTTTAGGTGGAGTAGGTCTTGGAATAGACACAGAATTTCACAAAAGAACAAGCCAAGCTTTAAGTGGAATGGGTTTTCATAGTCGTTAGTTTGTGTTACTGTAAAAACAGTGTATAAACAGCACTCTTGCTAATATATAAAATAAGCAAATGCCATAGACTAGTTTGTACTTACATTGTTGCCACCAACCCATGAGTTGTCTCCTAGAAAGTCTGAATAAGACTTCAGCGTGTCTGGAAGGCCTTTCAAAAAAGTCTCCCTCAGAGTTTTCTATAGGTAAAAAGTAATGAAATAAAGAAATAAAGTGAAAACGAAAATAAAAATAGAATAAAAAATAAACTAATATTATAAAATGATATTAGACAAAAAATATAAATTCAATTTTGAAAATTGTATCGTTATTAAATAATGGTGAAAATCAAAGAAAACTGCAGCTTGTCCTTTTTGTTTAGCAAACCGTCCGTTTTCATTATGCTCTGCCTATTCGCTGGACGAAAGAAGACATCGTTAAGAAATATGTTGCCCAGAACATATTTCAACTTAAGACGGCTCAACTTCAACTCATTGTCTCACGCATAAACCCAATTCATAGTGGAATAACTGGCTATCAAATAAATCTACTTACGTAGTCAGTTTTGAAAACGTTTGTCGCCAGACAGACTCGGACAAAGCTCATCAACGTGTCAAAGAGTTGCGAAGCCATCATATCTGCTCTTATTCTTTCTGCCTCAGTGTTGCCACCTATTGAAGAAAAATAAATCCAATAACCTTTAAATCATATAATGAGCATCATTTATTTATGTAGCACAAATATAGGAATATTCCTAAAACTTTGGACATTTTCCTTCAATCACCAAAGTGCTATATTAGTAGCCTACGCTCGATAACATTTTTTCATAATTTTATTTGGGTATGAAAGACATTAACTGAATATCAGGAGAGAAATTCTGAAATCGTATATACAGAACAAACGCTCATTTTGTGCATGCAATATATTAATTTATAAGTGGTATATTAATAATTGGAGAGAGAGAGAGACAGAGGGAGAGAGAGGAAGAGAGAGAGAACCTACATAAGTTGTGCTTTCTGGCCAGATGCATCATAATAGCACGACTCTGAATAATTGTAGTGCCGGCATCTTTGTAATACGGGAGCTAAAAAAATATGGTCAACATGGTCAACAATATGTCATTGAAGATTGATAGCAATCCCTCAATTATGACACTATCGGTTTGCTGGTTTTTTTTTTTTACAGAAAGATCTTTAACTGTACAGTGCTTCTCACTATAAGGACAACCACTTTATTTGCTGCAAGAAACAGACCTTGAAAACTTAAGAACTCTCCACTATTTGAGCATGAATGTGTTTATAAGTATTTTCTCTTCTTCTCTGTTAGTTGACCGTTCTTGATTTCGTGTCTTTACAATATTAAAATGATGTGACAATGATAGGTAATGCAATACAAAATATATACACACATTTGGAAATGGCACTCCCAGCTTGGCCTTGTCAGTCAACCAATCATCTGTGTTGAATTCTGGGGCTAACATTAAGTGGAAAACAACGCAAAGGAGCTATAAAATATATCATTTGTCGCATGTACAGCGGATATGCGAAAACTATCCTTTCTAACAAAATACCTGATAGTCTACATACATATCCAACCCGCGGAATTCCACGTATCAAAATTTTGCATTTTGGGATTGAGACTGCAGCATAATATGTTTTTATCCCTTTCTTCTTTGGACGACCTTCGCTTTTTATTTCTTCCCTTTAAATACTTGTTCGCCATTTTCTCTTTTGCCACCCAAATCTCCTTCACAAGACATGCTTCTATTCCAACCTTTTACCCGTATTCCAATTTACTTCTTTCTCCCGCCTTTCACGATTCTCCTTATACCAATTAAAATGGCCTTTGAATAAGGAGCATTACTAATAATCTTGTTCAAAGGTGGTAGATGTATTACCTGGTCCCATCTGATAGCGTTTTTCCTCCACCTCCTCCCCAGCATAGGCCAACATAAGGCGGATGGGCTGAGCTAGCTGAAGAAATGAAAAGTAAAAAAAAAAAAAAGATTAAAAATGAACATGAGCAATTTTAATGAAATCAATTGATTAATAAAAAACGTCTCTGATTCATTGATTAATAAAAAGATCATTGAATTTCTACAATGTCGATGACAAATCCCGAGCTGAACATTGAAAAACTCTCTACGAAAAGTTTTGTACATGGCTTCTCGATAAATTGCAATCAGTCCTATTGAATCTCATCATTCTGTTTCTCGGTCGCTGTTCATAGGGCGAATTGTCAATGAATCAGTTTTAGTTATCGACACGTCCCCTTGAGCTGGGGGGATTACATATCGTGTGCTGATTAAGCTGATTCCACAGAATGCATTTTAACCAGAATCCATCGTACAGTTGGGCCGACCCGCACGTTCGATGTGTGAATCTGAATGTGCCCTAAAAGACAGATTATAACAGCGCATCCGAGTTTCCACAGTCAACTGTCAACAGTCTGTGGCAGACTCCTGAATGATGACCAGAGGCCAAGCAGAACTCCACAGAAAATCTGTTGAGAATGTAACAGTAGCAGGCCCCAGTAACACTCTGTTTCAGGGGGAACAATGTACTAATAACAGGGGCTTGGAATGCTCTCCAAATGTGCGATATTTTCATGCACCAACCCTTCCACCAGGTATTCTGCAACATGTCTACTGACCCTCATATGGCCATCGATGGGGTACAAGAAACATCTTGATTATTCAGCAAAACTAGATTTTTTCCAGTGATGGTCGACCAGGTTCGGGTACCACTGGGGTCAGTGAACGTAATTTTCTCAGCTGATATCTCGCTAATTTGCAAGAGCTGACTTCGGGGTTAACACCAGGCTTCATCATGACAGCACACTTGCTCACAATTCTCGTCTAGCAAGTGATTTCTTGCAGGAACGCAATGTTCCGTAGATGGAACAACATTCTTTGAGCCCTAATATTAACACTAATGAGCACCTGTGGCATGAATTGGAGTGTGCAATGCAAAGGAGAAACAACCCCATCATAATATGGATCAACTCCGCCAAGACCTTCAGGAAGAATGGACCAATATCCCACAAAAAATAATTGCTACCCTTGTTGGATGGTAATCGCGCCACCTACAGGAGATAATTACAGTGCCAGGTAGACACACACGTAATTAGACACGTGACCTTTAACAAAAGCACACTAATGATTATTGTGTGTAAATTTGGTGTCACTTGGTGATGCCTTTTCAATTTTATGGACATTTCATTACCTCAGTGGGAACCACAGTGAAACATTGGGTTTGAAAGGGTACATGTTTTAAATTTGAATTAATGGCATAAATGGATATCGAGAAAGCTCTCTTGTATTTTTCTGAACCATTAATCCTTCAGATATAATATCGGGAATTAAAAACACTGTTTATAACAATTTACACCTTTGAGATGATTTTTTTGTAAATAAAAGCACATGGAATTGGGGGGTGGGAAAACCTTTTTGACCAATGTTGTGTAAGGACTGCGCAATGGCTACACCAAAAATCAGTTTTAAAGCATTGTGCTGGTGCTGGTGTTGTTTCACTGATTTTCGATTGCAAGGTATTCTGACTTCAAACTTCAAACTCCGCGTCAACCACTTTGCTTCTTTGTCTCGTCTGCACAAGATGACGTCAGCGCAAGATGGGAAAGGCAGCTCCAGGCGGGACAGATCTGTGACGTACGAGACACGTGACTTCCAAATATGGAAGCGCCCCAGGGAAAATTTTGCTGAACACACCCCCAAGTCTATCACTGGTTTCTAAAGTCAGTATTGCTGATATGGGTTACAAATGAAATCAACATCGAGCTGGCAATACTGAAATCCTGAACCTAGGGTAGGTCCCACGTAATTTCAATTCCTATCTTTATCTGCAAAATTCGCCTATAAAATATTGGTAGAAGAGATGTTGCCTCTGATAACTCAAGTGCCCCATAAGTGAAATCATAACGCTTTATTCATGGAGATTGTCCATGAATATTTAAAATACACAAACCAAGGAGGGTCTTTAGGCAAACCTACCCCTCTTACGTTCCAATATCCCAGAACAGCCGGCATGATGAAAAAGTCTGATGGAAAACAGTCTGAACGTGTCTCGACCCTTGTTGATAAGTAGAACTTGCGTCACACTGTGTGCAGTTAGCAATAGGAACTGGTATGTAAATGTGGGTCATATTTTTTTTTGCTGTCGTGCAGACGCGCGTACGTGCCTACACGTACTAGTACCTCTATTGGCGGTTCATTTTACACGTATTAGTTTTCAATGGTGTTCAGTATATCAAGGATACATCCAAAAAATATATATATATATATCCTAATTATATATTACGTACATCAGTCACAGAAAAGCCTGCTATTGTATACAGTCGTACATAAAAACAATAGTGATGGTGATAATAACGACATTAACAAACATAACGGTATGAGTGCGTCTCTCAATCTTAAAACAGGGTTTTGTAAAATCAACACACAGTAAAAAATAACTCTTAGTTTTTACACTATGCCCGCATACAAGATAAAATTAATCTTTATACGGGCTGTTTTCATGTCTACCCTTATATAATTATCGAGCTTGCAATGCGACCAGCTTCATCTTATGTTTTATTTCTTTTTTATACAAATCAATTTTCCGTCGTGTAGAAGCATAGCTGTGGAAATTAAATCCTCATATTCAAAATCATTCTTTAGTTATTGCTGCTGAAAAGACAACTGGGGAAAAATATGATATTTAGTTCAAAGTTTAGCCAGGTAACTCTTCGATTATCTTCTTTCCGAAAAGACATTCGGTTTACAATATTGAAATATCAAAAGTGAATCAATATTATATCAATGTCCTGTATAGTGCAATAGTGTGCCTGATGACTCGTTTTTCACAGATATTTCCCTGGTTAATTCTTCGCGCATTTCTATACTGTCCAGAAAGAATTTTTGCACAGATCGACGTCATCACACAGCTTGCTTTTAGTAGAGAGTTGTTGACAGCGTCTCATTAAAATTTCAAGTACGCAATGTTAATCAAAGATTTGTGCCTGCTGGTTATCGTATCACATTCGAATTCAATTTGACATTTTTAATGACAGACGATCAAAGTTGATACTGTAGCTCTTTTTATGAAGAAACATATAAATGAACTTTACTAAAGGACAATTTTTGAGTTTTAAAAGGAAATTCTGTATTTTTGTATGTTATCATATTTCTTATATTTTCAATATATTACTAAGCATACAAATGTCATTCTGCCATCAGAACCTTCTGCTCTGTTTGTCATGTAGCCGGTGTCTCCAAGTACATGTCTTTGTATCCGGTTCATTTTGCATAAATGTTACTGTACATATTTGATGTCTTTGTATGTAATACTGTACATATTTGATGTCCCAAATTGTAACACGGTGATTCATATAAGTTCTCATTTTATTTTCTGCTTACATAACAAAATCAATTGCTTTTGCACTGAAATAGTATAAATCATTCTCTGTATTCGCAGACAGATGTAATTCAGCTATTCTGACCTTTATCAATGCGCATATGCGAACATCTTGATTTCTTTCTGACATAATGAGTAATAAAATGGGGCAAAAATATAAAATAATAAAATAAAATATCCTAGTCAATAAAGCATGAATTTGCAAATTTCATCAACGTTCCCAGACAGTTTAAAGCTGAGCTATGACTCCTTAAAAAATCTCTCGTTGTCACGTGGTGTCTGACGGCTGTCACGTGGTATTTATGCACCCCAGTCTGCAAACGGACCAAACACAGGGTTCTTTATAAACTGCGCAGATGCCATGTATTTCTTAATGGCCGGAAGAGCCTAAAACAAAGTCAAAAGACTTATATTTTATTTGATTGAAATAAAAAAGTGAGTTTTGACAGGAGCAAAGAAAATCAGATAATTATAATAATAATAAAAAAAAAAAAATAATAATAAAATAATAATAATAATAATAAAGTAAAAAAACAAAGTAATATCTTATATATATATGCGATGAAGATAAGGAGCGCTGTGTGCAAAGATCTATATAAATCCCCTTACCTCAAAATTCTTGCAGTAGCCGGCGAGGTTTGAAAACTGGTCAAGGCATCCAGGAGAAAACATTCTGAACCAATCCAACAATTCGTACAAGTTGAAATCAGCATATGTGATCTGGAAAAAAGAAAAACACTTAATATATGGGGGCTGATATAGAAAAATGGGCACTTCTAGAATTTTGAATACACTGAATGAATACAAAATTTAACTGAAGTATATAGTTGCAAAGCGCTCCACAGTCGGTTGAAAACAACCGAAATTTGTACTTACATTTTTACCTCCAACCCATGAGTTGTCTCCCAGAAAGTCCGAATAGGACTTCAAAATATTTGGCAATCCCTTCAAAAACTCCTCTTTCTTTGTTTTCTAAAATAAAAATAAAGATGAAATAATATAAATGATGGTGATAAGAAAATCAAATACAAATTGACAGGTCATTGACAAAATGATCAGTCGTTTAAAAAGTTTTTTTTTCAAAAGTTATGAAATATCTTAAAAACCTGCAGCCTATTTTCCCCGAGTTCTGAAAGTGACGCTGCTGAGGGTTATTGTCGAAGGTAGCAGATAAAATGTATCAATATCATAGATAGTTCGATAATGCCAAAATAAATCAATATTTCATTTTTAGATGACTAAATGCATTGTCCAACCCAATGCCCAATACTCGGGTATGCTTGAACAAACCGTTCTACTTACATAGTCAGTTTTGTAAAAGTATGTCGCGAGGCAGACTTGGATAAAGCTCATCAATGTGTCGAGGACTTGGGAGGCAATTTCATCCGCTTTAATTTTTTCTGCCTCTGTGCTGCCATCTAACAAGCAAAATGATATCGGATTTCAAACTACATGTACATGTTTGCATGTAGAGTCAATATGAGGGAGATTGCCTTATGGGGTAATCGTTTGCAACAAGGTTATGTGTTTGTCTGTGTGTGTGTGTGTGTGTGTGTGTGTGTGTGTGTGTGACAGAGAGAGAGAGAGAGTGAGCGAGAAAGAGAGAGAGAGAAAGACAAAGAGAGAGAGGGAAGAGAGAGACTTACATAAGTTGTGTTTCCTGGCCAGATGCATCATAATGGCACGACTTTGCACGATGATGGTGTCGCCATCTTTGTAGTACGGAATCTAAAAGATGCAAAGTGTACCCTCGATCATAAGGCCACGTGGATGATCGACATTTTTGTACGTAACCACAGTTTGCTGCACTTTTACTTAAACTACATTTATCATTTTAAATTATTGTTTTTCTTTTTATCAAGAGCTTCTAAAATATGTAGGTATTACCTCCAATATTTATCATTGTATCATTTATTCATTACACTGAATTTTGTATTATTTATTCATTACACTGAATTTTGCGTCTCTTATTTATGGTTCACATATACGTGTATGGTTGAATCAAAATTAATACAAGATCTATACATTTAATAAAAAAAAATTGATAACAATGAGTAAAAGCGTTTTTTGTGTACATACATTTGCGAAAGGCACTCCAAGCTTGGTCTTGTCTGTGAGCCACTGCTCTCTGCTGTACTCTGGTGCTAAAAATTGAAAGGTTTAGCATTTATGTTACACGTACTTGGCAAACTAAGTCAAAGGAAGCAGAGATATATGAAATAGAAAAGCAAGTTAAAGCAATGTGAAAGAGGTGCCGTCCATAAAAATGTTTCGAATCCAGTGCGCATGACAGACAGAAGCGAGGCATCTTTTGCGTCCAAGCCAATGGTGGCATAATTTGGCATTCTGCATGACGATATGGAAGCATACCCTAATGGAAGGAAAAACTTACAAGATGTTTCTCAAAATCAAATTGTTCAATTTGACAATCAAACTAATGTTTTCTTGAGCGGTCACCTATTGCTTTATCTTTAAGTCTTAGTATCTATTTTTTAATCAAAAAAAAAAAAAAAAAAAAAAAAAAAGAAAAAAAATTACCTGGCCCCATTTCATAGCGCTTCTCCTCGTACTCTTCCCCAGTATAGGCCAACATAAGGCGAATGGGTTGTCCCAACTGTAAACAAACCATTAGCAGGAGAAAGATTAAAAATTAGTACTTGGATAAAACCAGGGAAAGAGATCTTAGTTGAAGTATACAATGGCATGAGGCAGCATCTTACAGGGTTATTTGCTAACCGATAACTCACACATTATAATATATAAATCAAACAAAAACCAGTTTCCAAAAGGCAGGAACCAGCTGTTACGTAAAGTCATTTGTGTACGGGGAGACCATAAAGATAAGAGAGAAGATCCAGTATGAGTGCAAAACTACCCATGTTATTTGATATGATCTAATCTCTTATTTAATGCACTGGATTTAGTTAAATACACCCAAGTAGGGGTGGGACTCGCTGAGAAACTTAAACAATGTAATATTAAGAACTCTGAACTTAATGATATAAAAAGGGCCACAATGTGTTGAAGTCCCGCCATTTTGCACCAAGATCAAGAGAATGTTCGTGTTGAGAGGGGGGTTAAACATCATTGATAATAAATCGACAATTTATAAATTTAAAATTAGTAAATACTAATAGTTGCGCAGGAATCACACGGTTCCGGAACTTTGTTTCTTTGTACGTGTTGTTCGAACTGAAATAATTCTAATATTTGCCGTGACATTGCAAATATCAAAGTACGACAAAAGATCTCTCCCTTTTAACCGTTTGCCCCATTTCCATGGCGGTCTCAAAACTGAATTTGTCACGAGGATTATTTATATACACGCACACCTACCCCACGTAGATTCCAATATCCCAAAACAGCCGGCATGATGCAGAAGTTTCTTTAAGTGAACGTTTGAACAATGCTCTTCGATTCTTGCTGCCTTGCTTAGATCTTCGCACAAGTCACGTCCCTCCGCGTGCGCTGATAGAGAGCTCTAGAGACAAGTTGAATGGAAAGGCAGCCCCCAGGGTTATTAAGCTGATATCTCGACCTTGGATTATAAACGTCACCAGACAAAGTGCTGACTCACAGTGCTTCAATTATACAGCAAACATGCAGACACAGTTAGGTTTGTTTATCAAGGTCGAATACGTGGTACTTGCTGTATGTTTGCAAATGTGATTGTGTTCTTACGCGTATTACGCAATAACTTCAAAATGCGTTTTTAAGTAGATGCTTGTGAAAGAAAAGGGGTTTTAAATATATCTAAAATTCTGGATATGTATTACATAAATGTTCTGACGCCAGTCTTAGCTGTCAAGCTGCTACCAAAGCTTTGGAATTTCGTGCAGGATCCATTTTAAAACCTTGAGACAAAAAAAAAAAAAAAAAAAAAAAAAAAAATGAAACTAGAAAAGCACTCCGAGAGCGCAGACCTCCGCCAAGGCAGCAATTTTTGATTATTATTGATTATTGATTGATTATTGATCCTGATCACCACCAAAAACTAATCATCTCTTCCTTGGCCCACTGCTGACAGTTCCTGATAATTTCATCAAAATCGGTCCATACCTTTTTGAGTTATGTTGAAGACAGACAAACAAACAGACAGACAAACAGGGGTGAAAACATAACCTCCTTGGCGGAGGTAATAATCTTACGAGGCCAAACTGTATCAGTCGGTTTGCATTTTCTCAGCCTGTTTTCATTCATTCCAACCATCAATGTTATCATACGCTTATGAAAGATATCTATTTTCGAAGGTGTCTGGATAGCCAGACCTTTTGCCACCAAAGATAAATGTAACAGAAAATCCCACGGATTCGACAGGTGTGCAATGGCGTATACTAGATATAGCAAACGGGGCACTCTGCTATCACTTTTAGGGAGTGACACAGAAATATTTTTTATAAAGTATCCTACCCTCTAAACTCATATTTTGGGCACCACCTGGGGGGGGGGGAGCTAATAGAGGCAGACCAAATGTATCTTACTTTGGTAACATCGTGAATGATACTGGGACCCGTAACTCGAAAGCATCGCGCATTGTGACCGAGCGCAAGCGTCTCGATTCCATAACTCTTCCGTACTCGCCTCATATAATACACTGTAGCCTCTATGTGATATCGCTATTCGCAATGCGCGATGCTTTCGAGATAGGGGAGACCGGGGCTAGTTGGCCCAGTTAGACACTTTTGGCCTTGTAGAGCCAACTAGGAGTGGGTTAGAGTAACAAAACCGGTTTCAAAGTAAACCCCATGAACTAAGCTACGTATGCAACGTCATTATTTTTCAAATATAATGCCAGGTGGCTCACAATTTGACAAAAAACGCAGTTGACGTTAGGGGGGCCAACTTGCCCCGCCATGGGGCAAGTTGGCCCCAGGGTCGGGGCAAGTTGGCCCCCCTATACGAAAATGAAGTATATGTCCCATGTAAACGCCTTGAAATACATTTTTATAATTTTTTTATTAATTTAATTGATTTTTGAGAGTCTTTGATGAATAAACAGTTCAAATGAGGCAGATTTATTGAGGTTTCCGTACGTCACGTTGTTGTGGGGGGG